ATCCTCCTTCTTCCCTTTTTTAAAGATGGGCACTACATTAGCCTTTTTCCAGTCATCTGGGACCTCCCCCGATGGCCATGAGTTTTGAAAGATAATGGCCAATGGCTCTGCAATCACATCCGCCAACTCCTTTAGCACTCTCGGATGCACCGGCCCCATGGACTTGTGCTCGTCCAGCTTCTCTAAATAGTCCCAAACCACTTCTTTCTCCACAGAGGGCTGGTCACCTCCTCCCCATGCTGTGCTGCCCAGTGCAGTAGTCTGGGAGCTGACCTTGTTTGTGAAGACAGAGGCAAAAAAAGCATTGAGTACATTAGCTTTTGCCACACCCTCTGTCACTAGGTTGCCTCCATCATTCAGTGAGGGGCCCACACTTTCCTTGACTTTCTTCTTGTTGTTAACATACCTGAAGAAACCCTTCTTGTTACTCTTAACATCCCTCGCTAGCTGCAACCCCACGTGTGATTTGGCCTTCCTAATTTCACTCCTGCAAGCCCGAGCAATATTTTTATACTCATCCCTGGTCATTTGTCCAATCTTCCACTTCTTGTAAGCCTCTTTTTTGTGTTTAAGATCAGCAAGGATTTCACTGTTAAGCCAAGCTGGTCGCCTGCCATATTTACTATTCTTTCTACACATCGGGATGATTGTCCCTGTAACCTCAATAAGGATTCTTTAAAATACAGCCAGCTCTCCTGGACTCCTTTCCCCCTCATGTTATTCTCCCAGGGGATCTTGCCCATCAGTTCCCTGAGGGAGTCAAAGTCTGCTTTTCTGAAGTCCAGGGTCTGTATTCTGCTGCTCTCCTTTCTTCCTTGTGTTAGGATCCTGAACTCGACCATTTCATGGTCACTGCCTCCCAGGTTCCCATCCACTTTAGCTTCCCCTGCTAATTCTTCCCGGTTTGTGAACAGCAGGTAAAGAAGAGCTCTGCTCCTAGTTGGTTCCTCCAGAACTTGCACCAGGAAATTGTCCCCTACATTTTCCAAAAACTTCCTGGATTGCCTGTGCACCGGTGTATTGCTCTCCCAGCAGATATCAGGGTGACTGAAGTCTCCCATGAGAACCAGAACCAGTCTGGGGGGTTGGATAGGGGGTGGGGTCCTGAAGGGGCGGTTAGGGGCAGGGGGTCCTGGAAGCGGGTGGTCGGGGACAAGGAGTGGGGGTTGGATGGGTCGGGGGTTCTGAGGGGGGCAGTCAGGGGGTGGGAAGTGGGAGGGGGCAGATAGGGGGCGGAGGCCAGGCTGTTTGGGGAGGCACAGCCTTCCCTACTTGGCCCTCCACACAGTTTCGCACCCCGATGTGGCCCTTGGTCCAAAAAGTTTGCCCACCTCTGGCCCAGGTTGTTAGAGACTAAAAGTCACCTGAAGGCTGTACAGTAATCTGTCAAGCAGCTGGCAGGTCAATCTTTTAATTTTGAGATCACACTTCACACACTTCTGGCCAGTCACAGCAGAAAGGCTCAGGGCGATACAAAATAAACTCCCCCTCTTGCTCCTGCGTGGGGTGGTCCCTTTAAGGTCAGGTCTTGTGCACACTGGCAGCTGAGTTGCAGGAAAATTATTCCGCAACCCTACAACCCCAATCCCTGACGCACCTATTCAGTGATTAACTGACATGGCTGCAGTTTCCAGAACTGTCTATCCAGCACTTCTCACAAATACCAGATTCATTTCAGCTTGCCCCTCCTGCCTCCAAATGTGCAAGTGACAATGTTGATCCAACCACAACCAGTACTGCTAGTTGTCCTACATTAAAATGTCTATCAAAGGAAATTTTAAAGAATCCTAGCGTCATTTAGTCCACAGGCTCTTCAAGAGTTCTGAACAGTGTGAAGTGAAGTGCATGTGGATATACTTCATGGAGATGTATAATCAATAACTAGAAGCATGCTCCTCTATTGCCCTGTCCTCCACAGGCATTTGGGAGGGACTGAGCAAATTCCAATTTCAATCATAATCACAATTAAATGACCAGCTATGTTTCAAACCTCAAGAAATCCTGCCTGTTTTGAAGTCCTGCCAACGTGTGACAACTCTGTCTATGCAGGAATGTGATAAACTCAGTCCAAAATGCTTTCCTTCATTTTGGTACTTCCTGTTTACACAAGCTCTTAAACACAAAAATCCTCCCGCTGCTTGCGATAAGGAGATGGAAAAGCTGTATGCAGATGGTAATAGTAATATACTTGGTCAACATCACAGGACACCTGCTCCAGGAATGACAAAGGTGAATTATCTAAAAATGCAAAACAGCAATAGAGCCCTTTTCTGTCTACCTCAAGACAAACATACATTTAATGTATTTGTAACACATTATCCCACAAAACCAGATGGACTTTACATCACAAAGATCTCTTTTATCTTTCAAATACGTAAAAACCCACCCAAGAGAGCAAATGAATGGCTCCCTCTTTATCTACTCCACAGAGCAACTCTTTAAAGGATCAGCGCGGTAGGTATTCTTGGTGTCCTGAACAAATTCTAATTTGGGTTTTTCTAATATTCTGCCTCCCTAAGTTCCCAAGCCATTTCAGTTAAATATGGTTCTTTTTGCTTTCTACCTTAAACTGAGGCATTCTATCAAGAGGTGGCTGCATTTCAGTTGTGGGAAATATGAGAGACATTTTATGAAGTGGCTTTAGATCCTTTGGGATGAAAAGTGGTACATAAATGTAAAATAGTTTCTTGCCTTACTGGTTACTTATTAGTCATGCTGGTCTTAATTTTAATTACTGTCTAGGCATTGATCAGCTATGCCTTGCTCAGGGCTCGAAGTTAATACTACAATGTCACTTATGTTAGGATTGTACCCCTATGTGTTATTGGATTGTTGCTTAACTGTTTATGATTACCAATAAATTAAAAAAATGTAAAGTAATATTAGTGCCACCTGGCACCACTGCCTCCTCCCATGGCCAAACGGCTGACATGGCGAGACTGGCTTTCATTGCACAGCAAGCAGTCTAGCCATTCTCAGTTCCCCAATCTCCCAGCTGGTAAAGCACAATTATGCCCCCAGCCATATACAATTCCCTTTCAAAAAGGCTCTAGATGTAATGATTGCTACATTAATGTTGATATCCTAACAGGCATACTTGCCATCTCTGAGCCCATCATATAACAGGTGTTCGTCCAAAATTCTGGACCAAGGAAGAACATTCTTGGTAGTATGTACATGCCTCCGGAATTTGGTCCCACCAGAAATGTGTTTAAGGAACATCCTAGACAAATTTAGAAAAAGCTGAAAGACAGGAGAACTAGTAATTACCTATTGACTCTGAAATGGCACATCAGACAGTCTTTAGATGAGAGCACTTTAGGGAAAATAAAAATAAATGAAAAGTAAATAATCCTCTGCTGTTCCAGAGGATATCTGATAATCTCTTAAAAAGCCATCAGTCCCTCTCTTTTCACCTTTCCATTAACTACATAAACACTTGTCTCACAACTAATCTTCATTTCATCTTCATTTTCTTCACCTTCTTTGATTGGAGTGATGCCGTTTCATGTTTCCTTATGTTTGAGGAATGGAAGTTTTATTAACAACCTAAATTTGTCTCGTGTTCAGTTTAGTTTACCAGAAACGGTTCAAGCACATAAATTCATCTAACCGACAGAAAGTATCGTAGCAAGCGAAACAGTCACCATTTAAACAGCATTTAGAAGAGATTTTAGCATATTTCAAGCAACGAATTCTCACATATATGTTAAATTTTCCATCGCAGTAGTTCTTTGGGACCTAGGACTAGCAGTAGTAAAGCACTCAATACAAGTCTAACAACAACTTGAAGACAAAATCCAAAGATCACCTCCCCAAACATTTGACTGACATCTTAGAAGGGTTAGCATGAGACGTTTACTTCAAAAGCGTTACTTTAGCACAAAAATCTACTTAAAGGCAGAGAATAAAGGATTACCCTAGTTGATACAGCATGACATAATCTCCAGTCCTAGAAACCTATTCACTTTGAGCTTTATTAAGAGTCAACAAGAAGTCGAACTTTAGATTTACAAGACTATCTATAGGTACACACCACCCTGTATAAAAACATTAAGGTCAAGAAGTCAAAAGTTAGGAAGTTGGTGAACTCAAATTGCTTATGTAACCAGTTCCCAGTCTCCTTCTCCAGCCAGTCCCAGTATCACTCCGTCTCCGCACCAGCTCTCAGCCCTCCCCTTCCAGAGTTCTTGTCCCAGTCCACTTCTTCCACCCTTCTCTTGGCTCAGCCTTTGTCCCCTCTGTATTTCAGTCAAGGTGATTCCTCCTCATACACCATGCTGCCGGGTGCCAGCAGAGGGAGCAACAAGAGATACTCTCCAGGCTTTCAATTCATGTGTGTAGTGCCATAGGAGCCCTCAGCAACTAGGAGCAGGGCAAGTCCAGCTCAACCCCTGGATGGAGCATGCTCAGTACTGAATTGTCAGAGACTTTAGCTCCCAAGCTCAGAAATCTCTTGAGCATCTGCAGATTTTTTTAAACCTCATCACTTGGCCAAATTTTGTCGTTTATTTATGTGAACAGCAAAATAAATACATAAATAAATAAATATATCAATCCCTGATGGGGTGGGGGAGAAAGAAGAGCCAGCACCACACCACCACAGCATGGGGGCGCTAGAGCTTCTCAGCTAAACCCTTGTAAAAAAAAATTTTGAACGTGGGCAACAAAATGTATTTTGCCCTAATCTCATTCTCCAAAGTAGCTGACCATTTTTTCTAAAATTTTCCAAGACACCCAGCATGGGAAATTTCAGCCTAAACAGTTAAAGTTACAAGAAATTATAAACAGGGTCTTATAATGGGAAGTGTCAGGCAGCTTTAACGACAGGCAGCACTACCAGCTCCAAATACAACACAATTTAGAAGGGCGTTTTTATAGTACTACTGATTATGCATTGACAAGCCAACAGCAACAAATTTAAATCTATTAGAACGTGTTTTTTCAATCAGATAGTCAAAAAAACCTTTTGCTCTGACTCAAAAGAGAAAACACAGTACCTAGAGCTTTCACAGCAATTTGCCGGGTTAGTGGTGGAGGGATGTTGATGCAAACCAAATCTACATCCTGGTGCAGCAAGACATCATCAGTCTGACTGGTGTAGAATTCAATGTTCATTTCCTCTGCTAGCCGCTTTGCTTCCTCTTCAGTCTTTCCCCAAAGTGCTTCGATGGAGAAACCCTCTGCTCTCAACAAAGGCACCAGTACCCGGGCAGTGCTGCCAGTCCCAAAAACGCCCACACCAGGAAGCATTTTCATTGCGTGTTCACTCAAGCCTTAGTGTCCATACGTAGACCGCCAACATAAGGTTTAGCTCCTCAGCCTTCCATCTCAACCACAGCTCCTAAAAACAGCAAATGTTACAGCTGGATATTACCAGAGGGTACATTTTTACATCAAATGCATTCACTACTGAATGTTAGGATCTACCATTTTGATGTCATATGCAAAATGCTGAGAGACTCACTCAAAGTGAAATCATAGATAAACCTAAGATAGAGCAGCAAAAACCAGCAGACTAAAAGGAGATCCACAGTGCCCATGTCTTTAATGAGAAGGTGTAACAGAGAAACAACATCTTAACAGGTGAGCTTCTAAGAGGCTACTTGGCTCAAGATGAAACACTGCATACTGAGATATTTAGTCTTAGCAGCTACATCTTCACATTAAAGATGAAGGAGAATACCATATGCCTCATTTTTTGCCCATTTGGTGCAGTCCCCAGATAATCTGGCATGGTTCAGTGACGTTTAGACATGCCAGACCTATGGTCTCTGTGTTATAAATGTAAATCTCTATAATCACACATAAGTAAATATACTGTTCTGAACAAGACATATTCCAAGTAATTATCTTAGTAAAATGTCAAGTGTGGTGGGTCTCTGTTTAACTAGTTTAACTTTAAGCACTAAAAATAAATGATACAAGAGGAGACAGTAGATGGTACAGCCACACTACAATTTGGGAATACAGTAACATCCAGACTGTTGATGTCAGCAGAGAAATAAAGATATTGGTTTTCATAGATTCCAAGACCAGAAGGGACCACTGTGATCATCTAGTCTGACCACCCTGTAAAAAACACAGGACATAAAACTTCCCCAAAACAATTCCTAGAGCAGATCTTTAGAAAAACAGCCAATCTTGATTTAAAAATCACCAGTGATGGAGAATCTACTAAGACCCTTGGTAAGTTTAGGAATGTAGGTAGAGAGAGAGGAATACGTAATACTAAGCACCCTTGTAAAGAAGAGTAAAATGTCTAACAAAGAACCAAGGAGAATGGTACTACAGCCCTGCTAATCTTGGCATACTTTATATTACTAAAACCTCTCCTGATTGTAGATTCTAAGCCTGAGGCAGTAACCTTTCATATGAAGGGTTAAAGGGAAGCAAAGAACAAAGAAACCTATCAAGCTATTTAACTGTAGGGAAACTCAGTATCATCATTGCACAATAAGATTTAGTTAAAAACAAAGTTTTAACAACTAATATGATGAAAGTGTTCTCTTCAGTGAGAGTAAGGAGAAGGAGGTGTACTTAGTTTGCTTTTATTCCTTCCCACATTTTACATTCTATGCCTGATTCATTCCACATACCACCATTAGTGCCTTGTGGCAGTCCAAATATAAATTCTTTGCGCATCTGATGCCTAGCTGATGTAATTCCCTTCTGCCCAATTTCCACATCAGCAACTAACTAAAATACCCCTCAAAGTGTCTCTTAGTTATCATAGCATTGTTTATGTTTCACAGTGAGGGTACAGTACCTTGGTACACGTAAAAAGTACTTTAAGTTAAGCAGTGTGAAACGAAGCAAGCAGGGGGAGACATGACAATAAAATGAAGTTTTACAACTCTACTTGAACAGGAAAACTAATGGATAGTTTGTATTCCTGATGCCCAGTGTGTGGAAGGATGTTCCACAGCATTTGTCTATAAAAAGCTTCTTTCCATACCAAACACTGTCTCCTCAGTGTGTTTGTTCTGCTTAAGCTTTTTTACTCCAGCCAGGATCTCCCCTTAAAATTTGCTCCAGTGTCCCTGGTAGGAAGTTTTACTAAACTTAGTTGATTAGAACAGATAGAACATATTTTCTTGAACTAGTAGGTTATACAAGATCTTTCCCATTGAATTTTAAATAAAAAGTATTTTATTACAAGAACCGCATGATCCTTAGCTATACAATTATTTTTGCTCACACACTATTTAAAGAAAACCTCAGTTTGCAGGTGTACAACAGACGAAAAATAGAGGGTGCAAAGCAGTTCATACTATATTTCTGGTTTAACATTTGTTTAAGGTACATAAAAGAAAAATGAGTTAATAACTAAATACAAATGTGAAATCAAATGAAAACTTGTTACATTTTTCATCTTCATATAAACAATTCCAGTTTATATGTAACTATGTTTTGTGAAAGATTGCCATATGTAATCTCTCCACATATCATCTTGTTTTATATATTCATTTTTCTGTTGCTGAAATATTTAATAAGACACTATTATGTTTCAGTTATATAACCCTTAATAATTTGATCAATGGTATTTTGCAAGCCCCTTACCAACCAATATATTTGCATTCTAAAAGATGATTGCCATCACCAATATACCAATGCCTGTTTACTTTCTGAGATGTTCTTGTCCTATGTATCGCTACACAGAGAGATATTATTTGTTACTTGGGCACCTTAACAGTGTTCCTTTAATAGGTTTTTATTTCCCTATAAAGTGGAAACATATGGAAATTAAGGCTCTTACCACACCCCTCTTTCTCTAGATGCATCAATATGTTGACATTTTATTGATAAATAAAATATTTAAAAATTAAAATAAGAACTGTCTATACAGAGCTGACAGTTTACTGAGCACCAGATTTTGCAACCTTTACTCATGCTGAGAAGTATCTTACTCCTTGAATAGTCCTCACTGACTATGAGTAGAGCATTGTTCTACTCAGTGTGTGAGTAAGGGTATCACAATCCGGCCTGTTAACTGAAATGCGAGACCATATTGAGCAGCACTGTTAACCTGAGATTATATCCTTCGTTTCTCCTGCCCAATACCACATTACACCTGCTATTGCAATTAACTGATTTCTTCATCATCCATTACCGTGATTTACATTTTAATGTGCTTTTGCTGATCAATTTACAGAACTCTTGTGGCTTTATCTCTAGTATTCCAACACATAAATGTGTGTAAATTTGTGTTTGTCTAATCTAGGGTTGCCACCTTTCTAATGGCTGGTAACCAGACCCCGAGGCCTCACCCCTTTCTCCTCCTCTTCCCCCAAAGTCCCACCCCTTTCTCCGCCAATTGCACCTCACATTTAAAAAAAAAAAAAAAAATGGCACCCGGACACACAAGCCAAAACCCCGGACTGTCCAGGTGAAAACTGTACTGGTGGCAAAATGTACAGAAAACAATATATTTCATTGAACTATTGCATTTATATACTTTCAGCTTGAACAAAAGCAGAGAAACAGCTTGAGCAGCATATGCTTGTGCAAACTGTTCTTGGGGAACAGACAGACATACAATGCTGCTATGCCAATTTCATTTGTTTCAGTTCCAAACTATACCTTCAGGTTTGGCTGCATGACTAATTATAGAGATATGATGACACAATATCCTTGGTTTTGGATCTACTCTACATTTTACCCTAATATCACACACATGCACAAAATATCCCAAACAAATATCCAGTGTCAGTCAAAGACAAGGTCATGTAGCGCATTCTCAAGTTGTTCTCCCTGAGCCAGAATACCTTATTCCATAGCATTTGAATGGTGTCAATTTAGTCCTTGATGTGTAATTCTGGATACTTCCCTGATTAAATAGAGTTAATTGTTGCTGAACCAAAATGAGGAAATACTGAATTAAACCTGAGGGGTAAAACTGAAATATTGTTCTCTGTCAATTCAGCTCGTGTTTAAAATCTTTATGACAAGAGGACTAGGGTAGGACTTTTGGTAGGATGATTTCAATAGCAAGAAATAAATTTTACTACATCTTCTACACCCTTCTACTCTCAAATATTTTGTTTTTAAATAACTAAGTCTTTCTGGCCAAGGCTTGTCAGCATCAATATGCAAGTAAAGCACAGTTAAAACGTTATGAATTTTTCAGTTGTCAAATTTAATCTGAGTACTACAGTCATGTATTAAAACAAACAGAGGTGCAGTTATCTTGGATATCCATTCTCTTCTGATTCATTTTGAGGCACAGGGCTATGTCAGGGGCCATTTCAAGTTGCAATTTCTTGTTTCCAAGCAAAGCAGTAGATTTGGGTTTTTTTTTTAAAATGTACCTATCCAAGTACTCTAGCAGCACATACACCAACACATTTTACAAAGAATAAACCGATAATGGGGTAGAGACCAGCAGTAAAGGAGAGAGAAGTATTTGGGATGAGCTCCTAAGACAATGCAGCCAGAAGTCTTACTACCCTCTGATTTAGACTGTTGCTGTAAATGCACTTCAAGTAAACAATGCTTACAACTAAAGAAGAGCCAATGTTTAAACCTAAGCCTAAGCCGTGCAGGACATATTGCAGCAGATAACCTGTTCCTCCCATCTCTGTAGCAAGATTGTTCTACCCACAACTTTTGGAGTCACTCTACACTAGAATGGATGGCCCCACACTAAAATGGAAATAAAACTAGAACTTTATCAACTAAAAGTAGCTCCTTTGAGGAAAGAGTGATTAGAAGAACAGTCAGATAAAGTACAGCGCAATGAGAACAAGCAGTCAGACCTTTTTAACTAATGGAGTGGTATTAAAATATTTCTGATTTATTATTATTTGTACTGCAGTAGCACCTAGAGGCCTAAGCCCCATTATACAGGGCACTGTAAAAACAATCTGCTTTGTAACTGTCCAGTTCTCTGGTTTTACAAACACATTTTCCTTTTAAACCTTTCTCTTTTCCCTGTTGCGTGAAATAACACAACAGAGGGAAAAGAAAAGGAGTACTTGGCCCTGAATCCTGCAAAGATTTATGCACATGCTTAACTTCAATCAAGTTTAACACACGCTAAGTCTTTACAAGATTGTAACCTAACTGATAATGCAGAGGAAACCACGAAACTTAAAATGCACAAACTAAAAACAAATTTTCCCTTCTAAACTTTGAGAATTTAAGTTTTATTTGTAATTATACTCGATTTTCTTTTAAGGAGGAAGAATGATTTTTTAACTGGACAGAGTTCCTTTAAATGTTAAGTTTCAGAGTAGCAGCCGTGTTAGTCTGTATCCGTAAAAAGAAAAGGAGTACTTGTGGCACCTTAGAGACTAACCAATTTATTAGAGCATAAGCTTTTGGGAGCTACAGCTCACTTCA